GATTAAAGCAGTGTAGGAAAAACCTGTGACAAACGTAGCTTATACACCACAGATGTAATAACTTCTCCCTTTTTCATCAGGAGTGAGGTTAAACACTACAGATACTCTTCTACATCCCTTATGCAAATACACAGGGAAATCTGCTTTCTGGAGTGTGTGAGGGTCTGTCAGTCAGATGGACACAATTCTTCATCACAAATAAAAACCTCCTGTTTTGGATGATCATTGTAACAGCAACATGGGAAATGTAAATGGTCTGTACAATATTATACAAAGATTAAAGGTGACAGAAATATATTCAAGTTCAACAGATTTTCTTATGGTGAAAAAAACTCCGTGCAACAGCTTAAGTCCTGAATATAATGTTTTGTGACAGAAATTTCCTACAAAGGAAAAATTGGAGGAGGCATGTTTCCAGTGTAGAGTGCATATATTTGACATACTGTAAAATTCACAAGTATTTAGCTGTGTTAGTGAAATACGTGCAGTGAGCTCTCGGTGGCTCCCAGCCAATGTCCTGTCTGATCAGGCTGTTTTGAGGGAAATGTTTCAACGTCACAGGCAGCCTTTGCTAAATGACTGTAATCATCCACACCCATCTGATTCTTGGTGACTTCACTGGCTAAAGCACTATGTGGGACATCACCCCTTTGGGCTTCGCTCACCCTGGAGTTCCCCCCACATGATTCTGCTCATTTGCAAAGGCAGGGGAGGATCCACAACCTGTGGGAGCCTCAGCTCTCATCTAACAGTTGAAATTTAACATTGATTAGAGAGAGAAAACTATAGCTTGTCAAACAAAGCTCAGTTGAGGATAATTGAGTTTGGTTCTCCAGCTGGATCTTCTGGTAAAAGCCAAATTTCATCAAACCTTTGGGCATTGCACTTAACTTGGTGCATGTCTGGGAGGAAACAAGAACATAACAGATTATAAGGAAAATAATGTTCCTGCCCATAGATTTTCTGTCTTTTATTAAATGTGTTATGACTGGTGGATTCAGATATATTGCTCTGGAAATGTAATTATTTTTTCATATCAGTATTATGAAAGAAAAGTAAGCAGGATTCATGAGGCACTTTAGAAGATTATTTGAGGCAGACTGATTAGTGTATCAGTCTTAATTAAAATATATATAAAGTAAATAATATGAAATATTAATCTGTTTTTTTCAGACCAAAGAATCAATACACAGATTGGAAGTTAATATTTTCTGTGCACTTATGTCAAGAAATGAAGACAGCTTTATGTAGTTTTAAGGATAGTTCTGGAATTTGTCAATTAAATTAAAACAACCCAAATCCTATTCCTCCAAAATAAAAGCATGAATCTTCAGAACTAAGCACTTAACTGCTTTTTTTTAAATTGAATTTTTAAATATAATCTATTTTTCACTTGCTACTTGCAATGCTAAATAAAAAGCATAAATAATTTAATTTAAAAATTAAATTAAGGAAAATCAATTTGTGACAGGTTTATGAACGCATGTAATGGCTCTTAACAAAAAAAATTGAGGAGCCACAGTTCTTATTTACAAAACAGATTTTTTACATGATCAAACTGAATGATTCCAGAAATATTACTTGTTTTGTTTTACTTCTCTGGTTCTGTGTTCCCTCTTCTTATTGACCCACTAAAACCATCTCCATAAAGCTCAGCCCTGTGTCACACTCTGCAGAAGATTCTGATTCAAACGTGGAACTTCCTGATGCACAGGAGAGACATTCTCCATGCTTTATCTCTTAGAATTGCAGCCTATTTTTTACTCTCAAATTCAGGAATGAAACTTTTTTCACTTGTGTTTCTCCTGGGCACTGGATACAAGTTTCAGTCCTTGGTCTCTGGGATTATGGGAGTTATGCCCCAAATACATTGTGGTGCTCTTTGTGCTCTCCTCTCCTGGCACACCAGTGGGATAGCAAAGACCACCCTACCTGTGATACAGAATGAGTGGTCTCAACATGCAGCAGAATTTTGCACAAAGAGAGCTAAAACATTCATGTTTCTAAAAGACAGTGTATGAACCAGTAACTGATAAACACGATTTCACTGTGGTTTGAAGTGGCAGAGAAAGTGAGGTAGGAAAATGCAGGCAAGCTGCCAAATAGGAAAGTAGAATTTTTCAACACAGACAAAACCCTTAAGCCTGCAACTCTATGAGTAAACAGAATGAACTGAGGATAATTTTCTGGTTTGAGGTCAATGGTATGGCTGATCCCATGTCCACACAGCCAACTGTTCTCACTCCTCAGACAGAGTGGCACCATCCAAACTGCTCATTGGGACAGTTTGTGGCCTGTGCTGTTCCCCAAGCCGTGCCCAGACACGGGTTGGTGCTGCTGCCCATGGCAGATGTGCAGCTGTGAGCACTGTGACAGTGGGGTGCTAATGCCACAGCCCAGACTGAGCCCTGCTTCATTTACTGGCATGGTTTGATCATCTGAAGGAGTCATACTTAAGCAGAAAGGAAGTCCAAGCAGTTTTCCACCAACAAAGTATAATTACAGTAGCCTAAAATGATCCCAAGTTAATTTTAGTCTCTTAAAAATTTAGTGTGCAGATGTTGTGGCTTTCTGGTGAAGTGTCTCAAGGTGTGAGATCACGTTGGACTAAATGAATCAGTCAGGGACAGCACATCTCCCATCGGGGAGCAGCTGGTGCTGGGACATCACTCCAGCAACACTGGAGTGTTGTGGGGCTTCCACTGCCCTGCAGGGCTGGCAATCACCACAGAGAAGTGACCACAGGGCCGAGTGTGCCTCCTACAACTGGCTCCAGCCCCTTCCCTCCTCACACCCAGTTACTGCAGCGTGGCTTCTCTGAAGGTCAGCCATCCAGCCTCTAAAGCACTAAGGTCTTGTGACTAGGATTTGGCATTTAAATGGCTTTTATTTTATTTTCAGGGCAAGAGTTTTGCTTTTTCTCCTTGAGTATTATTTATTTGAAAATGTCAAAGACAATTTAAAAAAACCCCCACAACTTTTTTCCTTTCTCCCTGTCTCTGCATACACAGTCAGAGAACTATTTTTCACTTTATTCTCTTATACTGAGGATAAGCATACAGGTTGGGGTTATTGGTTCATTTGTTCGGCCAATTTTGCAGAACTGTCCTTGGCATTCAGGAACACATGATTCTTTCCAATCAGCAAAAAGGAGACAAAAAAGATAATCCAATACAGCATTAGATTTGCAAGCAGTTCAAGGTCCTATCAGGCTTAGAGATCTTTTTTCTTTTTTTTTCAGAGAGATGTAGTAGTTTCTCAAAGAAATATATGGAACATTCTAAATTTGAAATAATAAGTTATAATAGTGAAGAGAGCAGAGCAGAGGCAGTATATGATTTCCTTTCAGATTCTGATGACCTTGACACTGTAATTATGAGCAAAGAGTCCATTATTGTTATGTCTTTAAAAAGACAATAATTGCCTCTACATTTTTTGATTGCCAAGCAAAGGCAGTTTGATACTCATTTATCAATTACTTGGAAACTCCTGATACCAAGGTTAGTTCTAAATTCTGAGTTCAATTTGCTGAAAGAAAAGATGCCAGTAAATTTTCAAGCTACCAACCTTGGGCCAAGATAGGTCTCATGATAACCCTTAAAAAAACCCCTGAAACAAGCTGAGAAAACCCCCCTGTGGTTGCCATTACCTATCTACCAACAGATGCAATTTGCTTAGGAATTACTTAGGAAAAGATACAGGGAATAGGCCTGGAAGTGCCAACCATCCTTCCTTTCCACTGGTTTTTGGTGCTCAGCATTTCACAAGGTTTGACCAGGACCCAATGAATCCCTTGCATTATGTCACTCCAGTTAATAGATGTCATGCTTTAGCATGAAGGAAAGCCTGAAAGCAATTGCATCATGTAGAGTGAGAGTTAAAAAAACTAGCCTAAAACCCAACTAGATCTTGAAATTAAATACTTTCTCTCCCTCTCTCTCTGCCTGCTAGTATCTGCAAAATTTTCTTTGAACTTCTAAACATAGAAGAGATCAATTAAAAGGCAACATAAACAGAGGTGGCAGATCTTAATCTACTAGGGAAGCTGTACCTCACTTGGACAAAACTCCTATTAATCTCAAATATTGTGTGAAAAAGAAAAATGGCATTGAGATGGCATTCACTGCTCTCTTGTGCTGATGGCCAGCACAATGTCTGTGGATCAGTAATTTCTAAAGGCAGGTTTACTTGGAGCTGGACCTCTTCCCTCCTGGCACCATGAAGTGTCCAGGAACAAATCAACTCCTGTCAAGACTCCATGAGCCATTGTCTATTCCAGCAAGCTCCTCGTGCCACACACACACTGCTTTATTTTAATATTTGAAAAATAAAATGTTGAGCCCTTTAAATATTTTTTTAAGGCAACAACCTTAAAATGAAACAAATTAAAATAAAGCACAAGGTGGGAGGTTTTACCTCTCCTTGTATGACTTGCTGTAGTTTCCACAGCCTTTATGGATGAATCTTGCTCTTTTTCATGTATTTATTGACAACAATAAACCTGCCTAATAAAAGTCTTGACTTTAACAAGCAGCTGGAGTTGTACCTCTAGAGCTAGATGCATCTGCTTTCATGGAAAAGAGGGAAATCAGCTAAATGAAGGGTTCATGAAGGTTCACTTATTTTTGAGAATTTTAGAGAGAGGAATAGTGATGAGATATAAGGAGAAGTCTTCCAGCTTTTTCAGGGCTGCATGTTTGAAACACTGAAATATAGATGTATGAAATTTTCTGATTATTTGAATCATATAGTTGAATCCTTTTACCAAAAACATGGAAATATTAGAATAAAATAATTCTTCAGACACACATTTTGTGAGTTGGATGCATATTTGCAGCATTTTAAGTTCTTCACAGTTCCTTTGATTCCAACAGCCTGACTCAAACACTTGATGTTACCCGTGCTTTTGAAGTACTTTGTTAAATGCAGACCTAAAGTGGAATTCTTTGTCTCAGAAAGACTCATCCAAGCTTCCATTAATGAATTAAAATAGATCTTACCTCAGCCCTTTCTCTTCTGAGTGACAGAAAATCCCTGTCTCTCCTTGTAAAGAGACTGGTGTCAGAAGTTTCCGAGGAAATGAAGTGGGGATCTGCAAAAAAATATAGGCCCTGTGAGGTGAAGTTCGTAGTCAAGAGAATAATGCAGTTCCCAGGTCTTCTGTATTAAGCTTTTCAGATGAAAACAAATGTTCTAGTACCAGAAATAAGATTCAGCCACTGACTCTGAAAATAAATTAAAAAATAAGGGTGGTTTCAAAGGTCTGTATTCCATTCTATAAGGTTGCTGGACTTTTCAAGCATTTGCAAATGTGATTAAGGTTTGAAAATCCACATCCTTTCCATGAACAATTACTTTTAAAAAATTTTCTCAGTGTTAGACATAATAAGGATTTAGCTTTATTTGGAAGTCTTGACACACAAAGGAGTTATTTCAGCTATGGTTTCAAAAGCAAGTCCTTCAAACTTGGTGGAGATACATCTTTCCTTCAGGCTTGGGATCAGGCTTGACTGCCACTTTGATAGCAGTGGAAGTGGTTTTACTGAGGGACTGTAATGCTACCTTACTGCAAACAGCTACAGTTCTAAAAATAAAGAATTACAACTCTTTGCAATGTGCAGAAAGCCCTAAAAATAGTGCATTAAAATTGTGAATCTGAGTAGATTTGTGTTGGTATGCATTCCTCTCATTTGGAGATACTTGGATCCTTCAGGATTTGGGTGCCGTATAAAATCCAGTTTTGATCCCAAGAAACCCAGAGGTTTATCAGAGCATGTAACACTAAACTATATCTTTTATTAGCCAAATCTAGAGTTAAAAACCAAAGCTTTTGCACCCATCTGATGGTATTCAACATTTCTTTGGACATCCTATGCCCATCCAGGATCATGCCTAGGCTTTTAGTGAGCTCCTTGTTCCTGGAGTTGTTTTTACCTTCAATGAGATTGTTTGTTTTCACCAAAACCTAAGTTTGGCTGCTACATTATACCACAAAATTCCATTCAGCTCTTCATAAAAAGGATAAGTAATAAAAGCTCTGCTGAAGACCTGATTCCTGTTCCTGGCTTTTCTGTCAGCTGGTTTAAGTGTAGGCAACTCAGAGAGACCGTGTGCCTCAAGGGCTTCCAAAACTTTTACCTCCCCTGTGCAAGGAGATAGAGTTTGTCTTAGTGGTTCCAGATGGTTCCTAGAGATTAGGATTGCTTAGCTGTGCTGCACTGCTGATCATTCCCAGAGCAGCAAGCAGTAATTAATTGATTCCATCTGTATCTACTTTGGGGCAGAAAGTGATTTATAATGACCATTCCTACAAGGCAGCAGAGGGCACAGGATGAGCAGTTCAGCCCTGATGAGCCACGGTAGTGTTGAGAGACTGACACAACTGACCAGGCTTTCCATAAGAACATTAATATATACATGTTAAGCTACTGCACTGCACTTGCTACAGGTTGAAGTTTGGATACAGAACATACATGTAACCTTGCTATGCTGTTGAACTGTAAGAATTACTTCATGACAACATTTGTTCAAATACAGAGTCACCCAAAATAGTATCTGAAACTACTATTGAGCAACTTTCGGTGAGAAGGTCACATCATCTCAGAGAAGTGAAGCACTTTCTATTAAGGTTTGCCATTTAATATGGAACCAGAGATTCTCTGCCAGTGACCTATTTTAGGAAACCCAGAGTGCAAGATATTACAGTGCATATACTGAAGTTGTCTTTCATTACTATTTTTGGAGTACCTATTATTCTGATAGGTTATTACAATTACATATTCCTGAAAGAACAATGTAACTTCTTCTGACTGCTGCAAAAGTTTCAGTATTTACTGTAAGTAAGGATCTTCTAGAGATCAAAATTCAGACTGTTCAAATCTTGGTCTCATAACTGTCACTATACATGGTCAGAGCTATGAACCATATCATGTAACATTCTTATTCTGAATCATTCAGGTGATGTAACGGCTTTATGGGATTTGCATAAGCGTTCTCTGAGTTAGTAGTTATGGAAATCGTCTCCTTGACATTGAGAAGCCCAGCAAAGAGTCAATCAATTCACCTGCTAAATTCATAAACAAGATCTATGGACAGTTCCTCATCCATAAGGTGATTTCTACAGTATTGAATTACAGAGTTTTGATGCATTTCATTATTTCTTTCCATAGGACAAATGCAGAACTCTTCTCATCAGTGATAACTGTTTTTCCTCAAATAAAAATTTGCTGGGATTAGTACCTAAGTACAGTCAGTGGCCCTAGACTGATAGGTGAATTTTGCCTTGTGAAGGTAGAAATTTGATTTGATATTTTAAGTGTGTCTTTTGGAATATTCTGTACATTTTATATAGAAGTCTAACCAATTCTGTGTGGATTCACTGGATCAGAAACCTGCTAAAAAGAGCCAGGTGAAAGTCTGATACTTGAAAGCATGTTCCCTACGTGAAAGCCTGTGCTCTATCTTTCACACAGGCAAACAGAGCTCATTCTATTATTTACCACTATCTTTCAGTCCTGGTACAGAATAGGTGACTGTAGTATTTCAATGTAGGCCTATCTATAATTAAAATAAACTTGCAAGTAATCTACTCTGACTATGCTGTAGTAACAGCTGTCAGATTGAGCAGCACTTTGTAAATCACCTTCTGTTTAATGTGCAAGTGTTAGAGTTATTTATAACTATGCCATATAAACGTCACAAAGGATGTTTGGTGATTCACAGATAACAAAGAACATACTGTGGGACAGACATAGGAGAGAAAGCAGCATTTTTTTTAAGACAGAACCATTTGGAGTTCTTCACCCTATTCCTGAGCAGTCCCCAAGGGTATCAGCATCACCACTGGATTGGATTTCTACTCACTTTGCCTGAAAACCCAGCTCTGCTGAAGTTAGCAAGAATTTTGTCCTTGTTTTTCGAAGAGCCAAACTTGCACTGGTGGCTTCATGTGACAATTAATACATGTTATTACACAGAACAACTGAGTGAAAATTTAACAGTGGCAGGTTTGCATCAAGCGCAATAAGTCCCCAGGTTTTATCTGTCTCTGAACCATCAGGCACTGCTCGCATATATGACTAAGTGACACATGTACTATTTTGCTAAATAAGTTCTAGATGATAGCAAAAAACTGGCCCAGGGGTTCCACCAGCCTGAGGGGAAAAAGGCAGGTTTAAACCTGTTCTGGCAAACTCACCTAAAACTGTGCATAGCAAACATATTTCTAATTTGACAACTGAGATCCTTTTAATGTCAGGATTTTCACAAAGTTAGCAGAATTTAAAAAAAAAAAAAGAAGTCTGTCAGAATATCCTAGGAAAGGAAGTCCCATGCTATTTTAAGCTTGACAAAGCCCAGCTTTCCTCCTTTCAGCTTTTTGACCAGAAAAAGGATTTACTCTGTGACCTTGACACCACTACCTAGAGAGCCAACCTTTAAATGTATAAGATAATTCAGGACAGGTGTTTCCTCAGACTTTCAAAATGTTTATGCCACTGACTCCATGACTATATGTTGCTGACTGTTGGGGAAGGGAATTTACCAATATATTTAATATTTAATCTGAAGGCTGCAGTTATGGTATTGACCAATGTTTCTGTGCCTTGTGACCTTAAACCTCTCTCCTGGCTGTGATCTGTGCTTTGTGATTTCTGGTTGATGATCATCATGTGCAGCTAAAATGTAGTAATTTAAAAAACACCGATAAACAAAAACTTATTTTAGCTCTATTGAATTGATTGCTGGAGATTGAACATGGAACATCTTTCTTCCTGTTCCTGGGGGCTCTCTCCCCTTCTGCTGTTTGCTCTATTTGATCAGGAATGACTGAATCTGCCAGAACTGGTAGGAATTAGATTTGGTCAGAAGCTTGTTCTAGAACTTTGGGATTGAGCTGGATTAACTAGATCTTCGGACCAAAACTTTGTGATGCAGCTTCTAGGGAGGAAAGCACTTGGACTGGTCTTCCCATCCTGTAATAGTAAATACACGTCTGTGTGAGACCCCCAGCCACCAGCTCAGAGCAGGTGAGTAACTCAGGACCCTAAATCCCTGAGTTAGCAACCTTTCTACCAAAGCTGCAATCAAAAGGAATAGCTACAACCAGATATAGATGTGCTGCTTTTCCAGACATGGAAGCTTTTCTAGTGACAACTAAACTTTCAGTGCCCTCTCAGCTCATGTAGAACAAAGGATAGCTATTACAGAGATGAGAAATTTTTGCATATTGGTCAATTTTATACAATTGATCATAGAGAGAAACATTGCAGTCCCCAGGCTCCTCATCATACTTCAGTCTTGCATAGCTTACATACTTGAAAATGTAAAGTAGGTCTGCAGAGAGGGACTCATGTAGTATAGTGAATGAAAAAGCAATGGAAATGAGATTTTTTAAAAAAAATCAGTTAAAAATGTTTCTAATCAATAGCACATTCATATTGACAAAACTTTAAAATCAGTAGGGTTATAACATTCTGTCACTTACAAGCGTTAGAAACAATTGCAATTCCTAGCCTTGAATGAACTTAATTCTCTGTGGCTGACAGTGGTAATTTTGACTGTAATTACTGGAGATCACACTGTGGATGATTCAAATGGCAAAAAAATTCTTAAGCCAAAAATTGCAGGTGGAAAACAAACTTAGTATTAGACCTACAATTAATTGAGGGACATTAAAAATTTCAGTATGATTTTTATGTAACAGAAAAGCTACAGCTGCATCCAGGCCTTTTTTCTTTATTTCTTTTCAACTTCAGGTTGAGGGTTGTTTTGTTTCCCCTTCTCTTTTACTCCTGTTATATAGCAGCTCTCAGAGAAATCATATTACAATAAATTTGTCTTTTCAAAGCACCTCTAAAATGTCATACTACTACCTGGTAGGGAATACAAATCAAATCAGCTCATCTGGTGTAAATTCTAATTGCCTGTTGAAATAACAGTTTGTAGTTGGTCTTGATCAACATTACCACCACCTAAAAGTTGCAGCCTCAAAAACCACCTATAAACCAAGCAAACAAAACCCCCAAAGGCTTTGTAAAGGCAGAAACAGTCAACTGGATCCTCATAAAACAGACCATTCAAATGTTACGTTTATTTAAATTCTTCACACTCCTTCTTTGAAATGAAGAGACAGTGTCCACATATCCTTCACAGTTCATTAATCTTCCCAGGATACAGTGGCATATTAATCAAAACTAGTGAAAGGAATGCTGTCCACAGCTGACTGTAAGGTACATGAGATGTCTCATTGCATTTCTTTGGAGAAGCATGTTTATCCAGCAGAGTATTCACAAGGATTTAATTGCAAACATAGGCAGCCCCAACACTTGCCTAAATAAAAATGCAAAGGATCTTTTATCAAGAATGCCTTTGTTTACTGAAAGTAACTTGATTCTTGAGGAAGAAAAACAAAACAAAACAAAATTAAAATTCCCTGTAACACTTCAAATTTCACCCAGGAGTTAATTTATACCTTCAGCGAGATGGTGGAAAAGAGATTAGTTGTCTCACAATTAAAGAAAAGGAAAATGAGCATTAGAAAATAAAGCTATTTGTACATCTTGACAATTGTATATACATTAAAATATGCAACTTTGGAGTGTACCCTGGAGTTGACAGACTAACTATGATATAGAGGTTCAGGAAGAATAATGACAACAGATTCTTTGGCTTTGCTTTCCTCAGTGTGACTGCTGGCTAGAAATCAATACCACAGCTGCCATAGGAAGTTATGCCATTGACTGAGTGTTCATTGCTTTTTCCATCTTCAGGAATGAGATTTTTGAAGTTACATCTTATCAATCATTACTTTAATCACTGGTTTGTATTTTATCAAGCAGCAGATATTGATGTTGGAGGCTTTCAGTTTTTAATGCCGTTTTAATTCATAATAGTTCTCTGCACTCATGGTAATAATAATGCCTTAGAACTAGGCTTTAAAGAAACCATATGCACACTTTTAATCCTTGCAATAGCATACTCCAGACTGCACCTACTTGGCTGTATTTGGTTTAAGAAGTCTCCCTTTTTGTCTCTTCTCCTGCTTTGAAATATTTATTTGTTAAATTCTCACAGAAGCGACTCTGTCAGACAAACACTGTGAGGTACAAGGGAAGAAGACCCTATTTTCCAACTCATCAATTGTCTAATGAGTCTTAGCATTTAACTATTGGGAAATAATCAACCGATCCCCCAATCGACAAAAAAAAGTAGAAAAATATCAAATATTACCTAAAAATCAAATCAAATTTAGTCATGTTGAAGGAATAAATCTATGTTTATGTGCTACTGTAAGTATTTTATTTTCCTGTGTTGTTATATTTCTCTACCATATGTTTTTCTGTTTACATGACAGTGCCCTTGTAAAAAGTGCAGGGATTTTAGCCAACTGCACATATAGATTCACATTAATTCATGCTAAATATTTTTAAGGAAATCTGTATTTCAGCAAGATGAATTTTTAGTATGTCTGGCACTGGATTCTCTCATATAATATTTCATTCATTACCTCTACAGTTTTCTGCCTTTCAGCTCTGTGGCTTATTTGTACTAATTTCATCTGCTATAAAACTTACCTGTAGGTCCTTTGCACAACAAATGTCTTGGGGTAGCAATAAAAAATAATCTGATTCCCTTGTCTGAAATGTAAAATGTTGGTGTTGCTCTACTATTGCCTAGAAAAAAGGGAAAAAAATGAAGGTCAGTCATTTAATGGAAACAAATATTGAAAAGAGATAAGTGCTATGTTATGCCAAGGATTTGATTCTTGACAAACTCCATTTGCTAACTTTTAAAAGTAGTGACTGAGGATGGATTACCAACACGTAAACAGTGAAGTTTTATTGTTTCTCTTCCACAATCTAAGGAAACAGTTTTGCTTATTTTAAGTTAAACCCTTTGCTTTCAAGTATCAGACAAATCAAATGCAGCCCCATAGAACCTCACGCTCATTCTGAAACAAACACCATTACAGAGGCAATAGCAAATGAGTGTTTTAGAATTAGGACACCAGAAACTATTTGCCAGAGGTAAAATGGTTTGCAACAGACAAGAGAGATTTAAACACGAGTTTAAATTACTCACAGAGAAATCCCCAGACTCTGTGACCCTCCTTGTGTTGTCCAAAGATTAACACGGAGCTCAAATGAGAGCTGGTCTCAGCATATTCTTGTGCTATCAGAGTTTTTTATTGTATCCTTATTGGCATTCTGGCTTTTCTTCCCCTCCATTTATCTAAGGAAAAAAGTTTAGAAACGTTAAATAAGAAACATCTCAATTTCTAAATTGAAATTATAAACATATTCTTTCCACCCACAAAGAATCCACTGGAACTTCTCCTCGGCATATTTTGGCCAAGGTTTCTTTTTAGCTTGTACAAAGAGTACCAATGGAGGAAGGATCTGCTCTTCCTCACCAGCAGGCTGACATGTTTCACAAAGTGAAAGCTGCTTAGAAAGAACACACAAGTCAAACATTTTAGATCTCAGTCAGTATTGAGCTTTTTGTGCTCTTTTATTTGAGGTGAAAAATGTTTTAGGAAATAAATAAAAAAAAAAAGATTAAAAAATCGCCTGGATATCTATTCAGGAAACTTTTTGTCAGTGCTTGCTTTTAGGTGGGTCTCACATGGACCAGCCCAAGGCAGCACACTGGGACAAGGACACAGCCATGTCCCTCCTGTTTACTGTCCTCTACCAGAGCTCTGAACACCAGCCCAGCTCTGCTCCTAACGAGGGGCTACAGATCTTAGAGACTGATGCAGGGAGTCCCCCCAGCCCACCACCCAGAATGCCTTTGCCTTCCCATGGGAGAGGATTAAGACTGTTAGAAGGAGGCAATGAGTGGGAGTTTGAAAGGAAATTTCATGCTGTGAAAACTGGAGCTGCCCCGGAGAGAGGCCACTTGGGAGCATCCCCTGGGAGCAGTGGGAGCAGTGGATACCTTGCATAACTCACCCTGCGAGTGAAAGACTGTGGGCTTGCTCTGGCAGCGTAGTCCAGATATGTGGAGGGAGACATGGGGTTCTTGGGGCCACGTGTGTCTCTCTGGAGACGCAGGACTTTGGGATCTGACTGAGAGCAGAGGCCAAAGGAGGGGACATTGACAGCAGCCCAGTGCAGTTCCTGCAGCAGTGGTTGGGATATGAACCTGTTCAGGGCATTTATTCACAGCTGGTGCTATAAAATCAGCCTTCCAGCACATCCTTTCTACTCCCAGTCTGGTACTAGACACCATGGAGCAGGAGCAGATGTGTAACCTCCTGATGTTTGTTCCAGCTCTGATTTCATAGAGCTGGGAAGGGAGGATGTGTCAGAGGAAGGCTCCTCCTGTTATCCACACTCCAATGTGTGGGTTGGTACATCATCCATCAGCGCCTTGGGAAAGGAAGAGGAGCTTGCCGGAGATGTGCAACATTTGCTTTTGTATTTTAATTTCCTGTTCCATGTCATGCCTCTGTGTCTCTCATGGGATCACCAAGTGATTAGCCACCAACTCTGGTTGATGATCCCTTTAAAAGCAGTTTGCTGTGCTCCTGCAGAAAACCAGACAGTCTTTCAGGCAAAAGCAGCACATACAAAATATGATATATTTGCAAAAAAATGTGCCTTCCCCTCTTTGAAGTTGCCTGTAATTACATACCTAGGGAATAGTTTGATGTTTACATTTTCAAGTATGCGACTGCTTGTATTTAGCATAATATTTTTCATCCTTTTCCTTTCTTGTTGCACTTTTTGTGGTCATAAATTAAATTACATCATGTTACAAAAAGAATGAGGATTGAGAGCAAGTCACAGCAGCCCTAAAACAAGAGGCCAACAACCAGTAAGGCACTTTTAGGTGGTGGCAATGTCCCCTGAGCCTTCTGGAAGAGATGCCAGCTGGCTCACTCGAGCAGCTCCCATTCAGAAGAGAGTCTGGCTACTTCCCATGATGTCTAATGCCCAGAGGGATCCACTGCCTGGTCTGACATCACTTCTTGGGGAGGAAAACTGGCCAACTGCCACGGCCTCTCCCCCCTGCAGCCAGACCAAATGTCTCTTGCTCAATAAAGCTGGCTTTGGACCCTTGGGTTAAATTCTTCTCTCGGACTTAGGAGCATAAATTCTGAAAACCTTAGTTGGTTTCAAAGGAGATATTACAGATTTACACCAGTTTTCTTGTGATCAGAAGCCAAAGCGAAGCCTGGAGTACATAAAATAAATCCAGGCTTTTGGTCTAAATTTATAAGGTTCCTTTATAAAGCCTTCAAACAAGATTTATCCTCTGGTTAAAAATACATTTCAGTTGGCTTCATTCTTGTCAGCCATTGAACAACATCCTAAAAATCTTGTTTTGCCACTAACACAACACTCATTATTTATATATTTGTATACATGTAAACAGTACCTCAGAAATAATTTAAACTATAAATTTATTGTCTTCTTTAAAAAAAAATTGTGGCTTTCTGATTATCCTTGAATTCATTTATTGCTTTCACAAACATTCTCTAAAAAGCAGCTGTCTCTGCTTCCATACCTTGCATTTATCTTATTTATGGCAGAGTTGTCCATTGATGTTGGCCTCCTGCTGCCTTTGCTTGATCTTCTCACAGAAATGGACCATTCTTGAATTTGGAGGTGGTGATCTTAGAAAATGAGGCAAGGGAGTTGCTGGAAAAGAAAACACATTCTAAATGTTAAATGTTGCCTCAGAAAATCACATTATGGCTCTGCATCTGTCAAAGGTTTCCCGTCCTCCTCTCATTAAGTGAGGCACTTTAACCAAATTTTTCAACGCCATTCGTTATTTTCCAGACATCTGTCCTGAGCTCAGGTTCTGATTGACAGAAATGTTGAGCACTATTTATTGCAACAGAGATGACTAATTTGTAATTTGAACATTAAAAACTTTACTGTTTTAAACACCATGTTCAGAGCACCTCAGCAGCACACCTCCAAGTTAGAGGATACTTTTTGACTTTCATCTCTGTGTGCCTCAATTAAATGCCAACCCTTATCTCACAAGACTTTGGCAAGTTAAATTAATTAGTCATTGTGAAGCCCTCAGAGACAGTGGTGATAAATGAGACAGAAAAGTCTGAGGGAACTATTGCTCTTCTGAGACGGTTTGAACAGCAAGAAACAAATAAGACTGGTGCCACACACAGCACAGGAGGTGTGTCACAAGGTGCTGAACAGCTTTTTGGGAGAACTGTTCATCCTTGGCACTCAAAAAGGCAAGGGGCCTATGGAAAAAGTGCTGAGAGATTATGAAAAGCGTATGCATGAAGAATACAAGCACACCTGTGTAGAAAGTCTTAAATTTTGGCATTTTCCAATTTTTAATGATGATTTTGCAAACTTTGAGGTGTTTCTACACATAGTTATAACAGTGTATTTGATACCTCAGCAGAACAGGTGGTGACAGTAGAAAATTTTGTTATATGTCACAGCCCTTTAGTTTTTCTTTACTTTGTGACTCATATTTTCATTACTGTGCTCTTATAATTAACACTCAGAAGGTTTTTCACTAATGAAACTACAAGAGTGTCTCTGGTAGTATAAGAAATAGTCTCATTAGGAATAACACATTTCTTAGACACAATACTGAACTCAGTATATAGTTAATTATCTGTGTTTTTCTCTGAAATGAAATATATATCTTCAATGGTCTCTCATCCTGCATTTTACTCAGAGCTTTCACTATGTGCATATCTTGATTACTGAGAAAAAAAGATAATGTAAAACATCTATATTGCAAGTAAAAATACATATTTCCATTAATATAATGGAAAGATTTTCTACAGAATTATGGCACTGTAACCACTGCAACTTTGTCACATATTGTGTAATATTATTTTATTTTTTCAAGTTTAAAGCTTGGCTATAAGCCTAAGCTAGAAAATTTAAACATGAACACTCTCCCCTGTCACCTTTCAAAAAAATCAGATTTTCTAGTGCCAACTTTTAAAGTTCCAACTACACAAAGTTTTCTTCTTCCTAAGAGCTGGGACATGCCCTTCTGATCCAGTACTTGCCGTTCAGACAGCAAAGTCACAATCTTCTCTCCTATTCACTTCAAAGTGATTTAAAATTAATGAACTTCACAACTGAGAGTACAAGCCATTTGATAAAAATTTTGCTGTGGTTAAAACCCAGCAGAACCCATGGAGTCAGCATGGTTTTACAGCAGGCTGAGACTGAAACAAATGGGATGAGATAGTGCCCACATGCTGCTGGACCTTTGGTGCTTCTTAAGTCCACCGAAACATGTGTCTGACACTTCTCTGAGCTTGTTCCACAACCCAACTTCTCTGCTGGCCAGAAAACTGCCTCAAACTTATCTCTTGCCAGTTTACAAACAATTGGTTTTGTGCTGTCCCTTCCTCCTCTGCGATATTTACTTTGTGGATGTATTTTCCAAGAGTAATCGTACAAACTCCCAGCTTTCTTCTGTGGAGCCAAAGGAGTAAAACTGTTAAGCTGCCTCTCACAGAATAGACTTTATGTGTCTGTTCTTTTGGGAATGCCCTCTCTGCATTTCCCCTGTTCTAAATTCAACATATTGGTATGGATGTCCAGGACAGTAGTATAGTGAAAGTCTTTCAAGAACTTTCCATAGCAACACTGGTATTTCCCCTTTTCCAGCTGCAAAACACTTCATCTGCACTTTCTAACACTGTACTACCTAGTAAAAAGCAGGTTTTCCACAGCAATGGCATGTGAAGGTTTACAAGTATCCTAAATTTAACACGCCCACATCTTTTCCCTCATCTGCTGTTCCAGCAGAGAAGACTGGGACAGTACCTTGAAGCAAAACTTTTGGGAACACAAATGGTACGCAGTGAAACTCTGAACCAAACCTAAATTCTTCTCACCATAGTCGAAGCGACTCATTCTTTATTTCAAAAAGACCAGAAAAGAGGACATAAACACATAATCTATAGGAATATTCCCCTGAAAATCTATCCTTACTGCCTAGTAATGTCAAGAGCAAAGCTGTAGAAATGAGCTTACAGAAAGCCAGTGCTATTGCTGCCAACTGAACTGGAGGGGTAGGCAATGATGGGGATGGGAGCAGGATTCAGGCTCCATTGCTTCTGTTAAATTTTGGGATATCAAACCCACGGAGCACAGCCCCTCAGGCAGCCTGGCAATAGTCCAGCTCCCTGCTGCATCAGTCCCCCACCAGCACTGCCACCTGCCCTGCTGGCAGCAGCCCTGGGTGGGATCCTGGGTGAATTCCTT